ACCTTAAGGCAGATGGGCTACAGCAGCAGAAGACCACAATGGGTGACACTCCTGTCAGCTAAGAACAGGAAACTGAGGATACAATTCGTACAGGCTCACCAAAATTGGACTATAGAAGATTAAAAAAATGTTTCCTGGTCTGATGAGTTTTGATATCTGCTGTAACATCCGGATGGTAGGGTCAGAATTTGGCATCAACAACAACATGAAAGCATGGATCCATCCTGCCTTGTATCAACAGTTCAGGCTGACGGGGGTGATGTAATGGTGTGGGGGTATTTTCTTGGCACACTTTGGGCTCATTAGTTCCAAGTGTGCATTGTGTCAACAGCACAGCCTATCTGAGTACTGTTGCTGATCATGTCCATCCCTTTATGACCACAGTGTACTTATCATCTGATGACTAATTCTAGCAGGATAACACACCATGTTATAAAAGCGTAAATCATCTCACACTGGTTTCTTGAACATCACAATGAGTTCACTGTTCTCAAATAGCCTCCACAGTCACCAGATCTCAATCCAATAGAGCACCTTTGGGATGTGGTAGAACGAGAGATTCACATCATGGATGTGCAGCCGACAAATCTGCAGCAACTGCATGATGCTGTAATGTCAATATGGACCAAAATCTCTGAGGAATATTTCCAGTACCTTGTTGAATCTATGCTATGAAGGATTGAGGCACTTCTGAACGCAAAACCCGTTACTAGTAAGGTGTACCTAATAAAGTGTACCTAATAAACCTAATAAATTCATTCAGTCATTTTCTTGTCGGCTTAGTCCCTTTATTAATCCGGGGTTGACACAGCGGAATGAACAGCCAACTTATCCAGCAAGTTTTTACGCAGCGGGTACCCTTCCAGCCGCAACCTATCTCTGGGAATCATCCACACACACATTCACACACACACACACACTCATACACTACGGACAATTTAGCCTACCCAATTCACCTGTACCGCATGTCTTTGGGCTGTGGGGGAAACCGGAGCACCCGGAGGAAACCCACGCAAAGGCAGGGAGAACATGTAAAGTCAACACAGAAACGCCAACTGAGCCGAGGTTCGAACCAGCAACCCAGTGACCTTTTTGCTGTGAGGCGACAGCACTACCTACTGCGCCACTGCCATGGCCATATTTGAACATATTGACTGTATATAGCTAAAATATTTAAACATATTTGTAGCCTAATAATAATAATAATAATAATTCGTTACATTTATATAGCGCTTTTCTGGGCACTCAAAACGCTTTACACAAGGGGGGGGGGGATGTGGGGGGGATCTCCTCATCCACCACCAGTGTGCAGCATCCACCTGGATGACGCGACGGCAGCCATTTTGCGCCAGAACGCACACCACACACCAGCTGATTGGTGGAGAGGAGACAGAGTGATGATATGCCAATCATGATATGGGGAGGGTTAGGAGGCCATGATGGACAGAGGCCAGTGGGCAGATTTGGCCAGGATGCCGGGGTTAAACCCCTACTCTTTTTCGAAGGACATTCTGGGATTTTTAACGACCACAGAGAGAGTCGGGACCTCAGTTTAACGTCTCATCCGAAAGACGGCGCTCACTGAGCAGTATAGAGTCCCCGTCACTATACTGGGGCATTAGGACCCACACAGACCGCAGGTTGGGCGCCCCCTGCTGGCCTCACTAACACCACTTCCGGCAGCAACCTAGCTTTCCCAAGTGGTCTCCCATCCAGGTACTGACCGGGCGCAGCCCTGCTTAGCTTCAGTGGGCGACCATGTGAGAGTTGCAGAGAGCTAGCTGCCAGCACATTCATAATTCCAGTGATTGACAGACAATTTTTAAATGTGAAATCCAAACATGATCTTCTAGGCCATGTGTAATTTGCATATATACTGCATATCATATTTCTAGATTGGTGCCTTGTTGATGACACAAAGCTCGAATCATCTAGAATCATTAGTCATCATATAGTGAGATTCCTAAACTCAAATGACCTCTACATTTACTAGATCTCAGGTCAATAGGAGACATTTGGGATGTGCTGGAATGTGAGATTTGCATCACGGATGTTCAGCTAAAAAATCTACAGCATGTCCTCTCATGTCAATTTGGACAAAATCTATTTCCAGCATTTTGCTGATTCTCTGCCACAAACTATGAATAATATTTTTCCAAATCTATATATTGCTTATAAATGATTTTGCTTTGACACACACTTCTATATCTGTGTATGTGTGTGTGTGTGTGTGTGTGTGTGTGTGTGTGTGTGTGTGTGTGTGTGTGTGTGTGTGTGTGTGTGTGTGTGTGTGAATATGATGGAAAATGTCCACCGCATTCACACATTCACAGTCTATAAATAGATACATAGCAACACATTTGCACTCAATTCAAATTCATCCAAGCTGTTTCTACAGTTCAAATGCTTCAGGGAAAAGACAGATACTTCAGCTATGATTTGCAGTCAGGGATTGAGTGAAATAACTCTCTTTATTTCACTCATGCACAGATGTTTCTCCTCTTCCTTATACTAGATGAAGGTAAACCTGAACATTCAGTTCTTCTAGATAACATGGCATAGAAACAGGCTTTGAAGGGATAATTAGTAATGCTTTTTATGGGATTTTTAATGGGATATTTAAATTCTTAAACCAAGAATGAGCCACAAAACTGTAAAAAAAAGGGAATGTGGTTAACGTTTGATTCATTCATGTGTTTAATGTGCTTAATAAACTGCAGAAAATACATCAGAGGTTTAACTGAGTAATTTAGCCCAGTGAGTGTTTGGGAGCAGTACGATTATTAGAAGGAAACAACTTTTTTATTCAACAAGATTTGGATTTACCTACCAACTTGTTTTCGACGCTCTAAATATCTAGGAATGTTGTACTATGGTTTACACAAAAATTTCAATCATAACAACTGTTTTGAACATTGATAATAAGAAAAATGTCCCTTAAACATGAAGTCATATTATAATGATTTCTGAAGGAGCATGTGACACTTAAGTCTGGGATGTAACCTAATGTATAGGCTATCCAGCCTGGTAAGGTGTTTAATTGGTTTCACAAACAAAGTTTTAGTGTTTCCACTGGCCAACACAATCCGTCCTCTCACCTACTTTCTTGTGGGGTACCATAGGGCTCAGTTCTTTGCCCAGTTTTATTCTCTACATTTTTACTACCAGTGGCTAAATCTTTTGGGAAACGTTTCATGTTTTTCCATTTATAAGTGGCTGATACTATGCTGTATTTTTCCTTGCAGCATAAAAGTAAAGAATGCTTAGGACCTCTGTTGGATTACCTAAATTATAACAAATTATGGATAAAGCAGAATATTTTTGTGCTAAATGAACACAAAACTGATATCATGTTTTTTTTAGTTTAAAGGCATATGAAGATGCATTTGCCTCTGACCATTAATCTTCTTACTTTACACAATGTGCTAAAAATCTTTTTTAATTATTATTATTCTGGGTTTTGAAAGTAGTTTAGTGCAGTGGTTAAATCTAGTTTTTTCCACTAATGCTTACTCTCTGTAAAACTGCTTGAACAGATTATTCACTCTATTTATTCTTGTCAAGATTACTTGAAAAATGTTGGAAACCGATATCCATTGTCAATTTAACATTGGAAAAACAATATACCATGAAAGTCAATGTTTACCGCTTTCCAACATTTTTCTAAATATCTTCTTTTGTGTTTAACAATATGGAAAAAAAAAAACTCAAACTAGTTTGGAACAAGTCAAGGTTGTGTATATGATGACAGCATTTTGACTTTTGAAATTAAGCAAAATATGCAATTAGATTCAGTTGTTGAAATGTATATGATCAAACATGTCATCTTGTAATGCAATCAGTGCTATCTTTTTCACAGTATAATATAGTACCCTATTTCCACATATGAATTAAAAAAATTAAATGCAATTGCAACTTTTTTCCCCCACATTTGTGAAGTTTTATCTTGCATTTTTCCTCAGAATTGTGTGATAAAACCTTTTCTGATAAAAAAAAAAAATAAACACTTTTTTTTTCTTGAAACTGCAAGATATAAACCTGCAATTGATTACTAGGAATTCTTAGCTTGTTAGACAAACTTGCAAATCTTCAAAATTTCTTTTGTCATTTTCATAATTGCAAGATAAAAAACTGCCTATTGGGATGCTTTATAGAGTTTAAGTGCATAAGCCAATTCACCAAGGCCAATGTCTCAAGGAGTTAAGCTTGTGTACATGATGACAGCATTTTTAGTTTTGGGTGAACTATACCTTTAAAATAGCAAACAGTTATTTTAAAGATATAGTTCACCCAAAACTGAAAATTGTAATAACAAATAAAATCAGATTTTTTTTCAATATTGTACAATATTTTCAGATAAAATAATTGCAGTCCTGATGGGGAAAAGTGTCTTCTTTCAAAAACATTAAGTTTTTTATCAACTCCAACCGCTTTAATGGATAAGTAGCATGTTTCCCTCTGGCTTGAGCACTGATTTCTAATGACACTAGGAGAAATTCACATTACATTAATCTGATGAAACCCTTAATATAAAAAAGATGTAAAGTCATTATTACATCTCTGCTTGTGCTGCTCTAAAAAGCCATTTAGAAATAAACATCTTCAGACTATTTAGAGCCTACATAACATTTGTAAACCATGTTAATTTATGGAAATGAAAAAAGAAAACATGAAATTTCTGCCTTCCAGAACATCGACCAGCATCCTGTTCATCCACTCAGGCATATCAACATATCACTCAGGACATGTTGGATCATGCACTAGTTAAAAAAAAACACCAAATGGCTGCAATCTTTCACTTTTACAAGCAAAGCAGAACAGCAACATGCTCAAATCCAGTTATCAAACAGATCTACTAATGTACTTCAACACAACCAGGTGTTACACAAGAACACCCACACAGCACAGTCTGCATTGTACTGAAATGTGACACACACAAAAAACAGGATCAGCTCCAAACCATGGCCTAAACTTCCCACCTCGTCCCAACATGACCCTACCGTCATCATCAAAAACATCCTCTGCCTCCTCACGCATCAGTTCATTTAGGTCATCCTCTGTGATGTCAGGAAAGGCCATCCCGTCTTATCCACTCGCGTTTTCTGAGCAGTTATTATACTGTAAAATCAAATCAACGTTCGGACTGAAGCCTGAGCAGAGAAGCAGTGGACGCTCTGAGCTTCTACTCACTGCAACAAAGCGAGTGTGAAAGTGTGTGTATGTGTGTGTGGGAGCCCACACCATCCAGGCCAATTTCATCAACAGGATGATTTCATAATCTCCTGTGTGAGTGTCAGAATGAGAGAGATAGCGAGTATGTGTGTGTGGTAAATATGCTAAGCATGGTGTGTCATGCAAAGGTCAAGTGGAAGCATCTTGAGAGCCGAACTCTTGATGGTTAAGGTGATAAATTGGCAAAATGTAACGCATTGTTTGTGTTCACAGGTTTCAACAGCAATATATAGGTGCAAAAGTGCATGTTTAAGAAGTACTTAAAAGGAGAGTTCAGCCATAAATTATATTTAGCTGTTCATTTACTCAGCCTCAGGCCATAAGACGCAAGTTAGCTTGTATCTTTAGTAGAACATTGATATTTTTGTCTGAAACCGAGGTCTTTGGTGAGTTATAAAATGCAAATCAACAGCTACTTTTAGAGTACATTAAAACATATACAGGCAAAACTAAATGAATGTGTCTTCTGATAATATACATTGAGGTCTTATCAAGTGGAACTATTAGATAAAGTGTCACATTTAAAACACTAGATTTTCATATTATTTTAAAGAAGAATCAAGAGTTTACATTCAAGAAGTATATTAGGAGGCTCAACCCGACAGCCGATTCGAATGCTATCACTCAACCGAATGGGTGTCATCAGTTATTATCAGTTGATAGATATGGGCCAGTAGGGGCCTTCTGCGCGCACGAGTACGCTAAGAAGCATGTTATCATCCATCCATATGGTTAATCGGTTATAGATCACATACAGATGCTGCCAGAAGTTAAGGAGAATTATTGATATTGTTTATTAAATTTCCCATTAATAGTTTTTAGACCCCTACATCAACCCTAAACTCAACCATTACAGTATTGTAAAAACAGATCTGGATCTGAAGTCTTCTCGATCAGTATAGCTGATTAACCAAGGATGGATGATAACAGCCTTCTAAGCCTACCAGTAGGTGCAGAAGGCCCCTACTGGCCCATATCTATCAGCTGATAACCACTGATAATGACCGTTCAATTGAGTGATAACATTCGAAGCGGGTAAAATAAGCAAAATATGCATTTTGGTTCAGTTGTTGATATTTGTATGAAACAAAATAAATTTTGATACCTTGTAATGTAAATGAGTAATACCTTTTTGCAATATAATATAGAAGCTTATTTCACATATGAATTTAAAAAATAAAATGCAATTGCAAGTTGTTTTTCCAACAATTGTGAGATTTTATCTTGCAATTCTTACTTTTTTTCCCCAGAAATGTGTGATAAAACTTTTTAACTTTGTGTGATGAAAATTTGAACTTTTTACTCTTTTTGTTTGAATATTTTTAGTAATTTTCACTCATTTACATGAAAAGGTATCAAAATTTCTTTTTTTCATATCAACAACAGAACCAAACTGCATATTTTGCTTAATTTGTAGGGCATTTATATGGTCAACATAATCAATAAAAAGGTGCCATATCTTATAGAATTGTTTACCCGATCCTCTTAAAGAGTATCACATTCTTAAAGACAAGACATCATCTCTCTGGTCCACTGAATAATCATCTCTCTGGTCCATTTAATAAGAACTTTTTATTTTTGAAACAGTAAGATATAAACTTGCAATTGATGGTTCGACAAGCTTGTTCGACAAGCTTATGGTTCTGACTTTTTTAAACTCACAGTTCCACTTTCTTTCATTTTTCTAAAATGCAAGATATAAACTAGCAATTGGGATGCTTTATAGCAGTGGCCACCAAACTGTCCGATGTCCTGCAGATTTGAACTCTAATCAAACACACCTGAACAAGCTAATCAAGGTCCTACTAGGTATACTTCAAACATCCAGGCAGGTGTTTTGAGGCAAGTTGGAGCTAAACCCTGCAGGGACACCGGCCCTCCAGGAACGAGATTGGGGACCTCTGCTTTATAGAGTTTAAGTAAGCTAGTTTGCCAAGGCTAAATTCTCAAGGAATCGTAACTATTTTATATTTTTGTCAGTATACTGGCTAATTTGAATCAATTCATATGAGTTCAGGGCGAAGCAGTGGTGCAGTAGGTAGTGCTGTCGCCTTACAGCAAGAAAGTCGCTGGATCGCTGGTTCGAGCCTCGGCTCAGTTGGCGTTTTTGTGTGGAGTTTGCATGTTCTCTGCGTTCGCGTGGGTTTCCTCCGGGTGATCCGGTTTCCCCCACAGTCCAAAGACATGCGGTACAGGTGAATTGGGTAGGCTAAATTGTCTGTAGTGTGTGTGTGTGAATGTGTTTGTGGATGTTTCCCAGAGATGGGTTGGAGCTGGAAGGGCATCTGCTGCGTAAAAACTTGCTGGATAAGTTGGTGGTTCATTCCGCTGTGGCGACCTCGGATTAATAAAGGGACTAAGCTGACAAGAAAATGAATGAATGAATGAATGATATGAGTTCAGTCGTTCAAAAATGTACGATTTTTAAAAGGAGGCGTAGCATCAAACACCACATAGCAACACAGAAACTTTCCAACAGCAGAATCTGGTGTTTAAAAGTTCTTCTAAAGTCTTTTTGAAATAGTAACTAGGCTGCAGTAGTTTGAAGCCTTTCTCTTTAATTTTAGTGTACCTCCTGTGAAAGCTCTGTGGAACAGACCTAATGACAATCTCATTACTGAAAGGGTCAGCTCACGCACTCACAGTCATATAACAGCAATTATTCACTTCAGGACTCCTTTAAAAACACGTCCTAAATAGAGGAACCAAAATAGATCCACCCACACTTGTCACGTTTCCAGGAAACATTTTGATGTGATTGCTCCATCCTTTTTACATTTAAAGGTGTTTAATGCAAAAAATCTCCATTATCATTACTCAAATGTAGAGTTTGGGATTAAAACAGTACTGAACTGTGACGTGATACTCATCCTGAGCTTTGGACATGAAAGCTAAAATATTGCTTTTTCAGACAACTAGATTCTTGATGGGCAACAAGGCAGGGCTCATTCTTTATATTAGTTTCCTTTTAAAAGATACTAATTGTTATTTGTTAGATACTGATTATTAGATTTTACAGTTTTACTATATCAATTAGTTAATGACTGTATATTTACCTATTAAATTAATACTAGTACTGTAAAATATACTAGTATCTGATGATTAAGCCTGATAAAAGGTATTAAAATAAGTAAATGATGTATAGTCATATTTTGAAAATTTATTAGTCATCAGAGAATAATTGATTACTTAATGACAGATTAGTAATGATATGTTAATTGTTGTTTAACTTACTGTTAAACTTTTTAAACCACTGACAGAGTTGAAAATATCAGAGTTGACATTTTTCATCACTTTGTGCTTTAAAATTTCTAATTAGAGATCACATGGCGTGTCTAAAACCAAATTTGATGTATTTTCATCATATTATAGTTTTAAAAAAGTGAGAGGAAAATTCACTAAAATATCAGAGACATCATTGATCTACAACAAAAAGATTTAAAAGCTGAAATGACAATTAATATAGAAAATTGATGTTTCAAGCAAATGTTTATTCAACTTAGTAAAGTATGAAATGAAGAATAGACCTAATTATTTTATAATAATAAAAGCTGTACTGTTAAAAGTGAAAGCGACACGGTGGCTCAGTGGTTAGCACTGTCGCCTCACAGCAAGAATGTCGCTGGTTCGAGTCCTGGCAGGGTTAGTTAGCATTTATGTGGATTTGCATGTTCTCCCTTGTGTTGGCGTGGGTTTCCTCCGGGTGCTCTGGTTTCCTCCACAGTCCGAAGACATGCGCTACAGGTGAATTGAATAAACTAATTTACTCCGTGTTTATTTGTGAATAAGTGTGTATGGATGTTTCCCAGTATGGTTTGCAGCTGAAAGGACATCCACTGCGTAAAACATATGCCGGATAAGTTGGCGGTTCATTCTGCTGCGGGGACGAATAAATGAATCACATGAATGAGTGATTAGTTACTTCATTTTTAAAGAAGTGAATAAACCCGTTGCCTTAAAAACAACAAGACTTTGCTTCAAAAAGGGAGTAAATTTGTTGTAACTTTGAACAGTTAAGTTGACTAATGTTGCACACTTTTCATTCATTTTCTTTTCGGCTCAGTCACCACAGCAGAATGAACCGCCAACTTATCCAGCATATGTTTTTACGCAGCGGATTCCAGCTGCAACCAATCACTGGGAAACATCCATACACACTCATTTACAAACATAGACATTGGAAATTCAGCTTACACCCAACTCACCTGTACCACGTTTTTGGAACATGCAAACTCCACGAAGAAACGCCAACTGACACAGCCGAGGCTCCAGTCAATAACCTTCTTGCTGTGAGGTGAACATGCTACCCACTGCTCCACCGTGCCGCACAAACTTAATCATTTTAAGTCAATGAGTTTACTCGGTTTTTTTTTAAGTAAAGTCAACTAATCGCTTTAAAAGCAATGGGTTTACTCACTTTTTTAAGTATAGCAAACTAATCGCTTTTTACAGTGTAGTAACTAATGAATAAGTAACACCTTGTCAAACACACTGTCACTTTTCTCAAAGTTCCTGATGTTACTCAAACGGTAAAGGAGACTCTTTGTTATTGTTTTGAAATCAATCAACAAATAAAAAAATCACTGTATGAGGCCTGCAAAATGGTTTTGTATACTTAAGATGGGTCAGGTCTACTTTTCTTCACACTGTAAAGTATATCATTACAGCTTCAAACCTGAGGCTAGCTGAACACCAGCATCCTATTTTCCCACGAGTCTTTCTCATTCAGCTATGCAGGGAAAACCAGCTAATGTTATGTAAAGATGTGCGTTTTGTGTTTGGTTTATTATAGATTGTCTCTGCCCCTGGCCTACAGTCTCCTGGTGGTGCCTTTCAGGTCTGCACGCATGAATAATGAAGGACAAGAGAGTAATAAGACCCCTGAGGTAGACGGGAGGAAGCATTCTCTACAGA